TTATCAGGTTATCATTTTACTCCTGTTGTCAACAACCCATTGTTCATTCTAAAAATCAAGACAAGTATACATATTGGACCATCGAGTGTAGTGATTGCTAGCGAAGAACCTGTCATTTTTTAGGTGCTACACCACAATGAAATGGAGGGAATTTTCTATTTAAAAAACCTTATTTCATTAAGATATTGCATGAAAGCAAGTAATAAAACAAATGCGGTATATCATTAGAGTGTGTTCCATCCAAAGTATAGAAAATGCTATTGGCTTCTCAAAAATACCTCCCAGGGCCACACAGAATATGTTCTAAAGATTGTATATATGTCAGTCTCTAGACAAAGTCTGTAATATTACAGTTAAATATACCGTGGGCCCAATCTTCTGCATGTTTTGCATACGCTTCTTCAGGAAGGATGGTGGGTGCCATTAAATTCATGTAATCTAGGTAAGTTTATGTACATGTTCCACCCCTTAAATTGTGAACACCGAATTGCTGTGTATAAACTTCCAACCAAATAGATAGCATTGCACTGAATATTAGAAGGTAGGGGAATCCACACACACAGGAAGTCTATCACGTCACCCAATGGTGTCACAGATAGGGTGCATCCAGGGATAGCAGGGTATGAAGAGGTGGGGACAAGCCACATAGTCCTGCAAGGGTCATAACAATATTAAACACTATTTTTAAAGATGAGAAACTTAATTAATTTATTAAAGACCCCATTTTTATCCAGCTTAGAGGGAACTGCCTACCTGATGGCGTGTGGCGGTAAGGGGAGGAAAAGCTCTATAACGCTATCCCCCAAGGGTAAGTATGAGGTATTTATCTATGGATAAAAAAGCATAATGGGACACATATAACGATTTATCACATGTACATGATATTTGTGAAAAGATATCTATCGAAGAATCTGTAACATAGGTGCTCCACATAAGAGTGATAAATCCAATTAATAAGAATAAAAGTGCCCGAATGGTGTCCCCCATTTCAAAATAGACCCCGACTGTGACTTATACAATCCCTTATAAGGACTCCTGGTGGAATAAAGTAAAGGCAGCTCCAGTTGGATACAGTGTCAATATACATTGGGGGAATTTATCAAAACTGGAGCAGAGAAAATCTGGAGCAACTGTGCATGGCAACCAATCAGCTTCTCTCTTTTATTTTCAAATCTTAACTGAACAAACTGAAAAGAGAAGCTGATTGGTTGCCATGAGCAATTGCTCCAGATTTTGTCTGCTCCAGTTTTGATAAATTCCCACAGATGCTGTGTCCCAACTGACACTCCTCCTTCACTGACCTGTTGGCGTCTCCTCAGTTTCTTTTATGTTCCCTTAGAGCCTGTGACATTTGGCCACGTGATTGCAGCATCCAACGTCAGCGGCTAGGACGGGCATATGGTGGCAAGTACAGAGTACAAACATAGGGGGGCCCCGCCTATTGGCTAGGGTTCCTCCCCCACTAGCTCCATCAAAATATAAGACAAGCAAATGTACAAGCTTTAACAAACAGAAGTACTCATGAACCTGGTAACAGGAGTATGTCCCTCCCCTGAGGTGCACATAACACAGGTTCTGTGCATGTGCTGTGGTTGATAAGCACCTATATAAAGTCTGTGAGCATTTCAGGTACTGGATTGCATATTAATTGCTCTCCCATTCAGACAAATGTATGTAGAAGTTTTAATTAGTTTTATTCAGTGATTTAGACAGCCTCTCAATTTAAATCAAAGCGTTCTGCATTCATTAGGCTGGAGTGGTTCTTTAGGACTGCAGTAGATTTGCCCCATTAAACATTCTAGATGTTTGTGCCCACCGGAGTGTGAAAGTGTCAGTAATTCCGTGTTATAATCACACCTGGCAAAGCTATTGTTCCACTGAGGCAATCTTCTCTACATGCTCAGCGATGTGCAGAATGGGAATCTTAAAAAACAAAATAAGCTGAATAAGATGTAAACTTATATTCATCAAGAAACAGCAGTAAAATTGTCCCCGTTCTGGGCGAGGAGAGTGCGTCATCAGAGACAATGAAGCCACTCCAGTCTGACCCCACCAACTGTTCATGCACTTCCCAAGCTTCTTCTAGTACTTGTAAGGAATGTGTTCTTTGTGGAATTTCAATGACCTTCATGAAAGAGGCGAATGAAGGGAGGGGATTTTGTTAGAGCACTGCTTGACTCTGGCAAATAATCAGCATTTGACATCAAAATTGTGTACTGTGGATATCATTCTCCCTGTAGATTTATTAAGTATATCATTTTATAAAACTTTTTTATTTTTTTTAAACAAAATAATTTTTTTGATCTAGAAATAAATCCTGGTATACATGCAGCTGATAAGTGATCAGTAAAGTGAGGCCGTGGTAACCTTTGTGCATATATAATTGCTTTCTGTGTGGACGACATACATGGCATGTTATAAAGGGATTGTATAAAGGTCACTGAGCATCTGGTGTGTGCTGTTACCCTGGCAGTTTTCATTGCTTATACAGTACATTCTCTTTATGAATGAGTCCTGTTCTGTTTGATTGGAGTTGACTGTAGTAGATGATAGGCAAATAAATTCTATAGGTGACCTTACTGTATTCCTGATCATAGTTCTTCTTAAATAATCTTCGTATTCCTGGCAAATTTTAAAATAATTTCCATAAACAGTATTTAGTCATATACAGATCATCTACATTTACCACCAAGTTTGATTATTATCCTTTTAATTTTGATGGTTTAATTGGTAGACGTGGAGCTTTAGCAGTGCCTCACAAATTACAATATTGTGCAACAAAGATGCAGGTACTGCAAGTAAAGTGACACTAAACTCAGGAGTTAAATCTTAAAAATGTATTCAAGTACCTTAAAAGAGAACTATGGGGTAAGTGTTTTTCCCAATAGTTTCTTTAGGGTCACGGGAGGACATATACTAACCTCCTTCTGTGACCCCATTGCCCGCTATACTGTATACTGAGAGCGCTGCAGCCGGGATGGATTCCAACAATACTGTCGTGATCCACCCAGCTGCGTGAGTGACAGCTGGCAGAGTCGGCTGTGCCTGCCCCCTCCCCTGTCTGTTCCTCCAGTCAGTGCTGGAGGATTGGAGAGGGAAGGGGGGAATCCCTGTGCGGAGCGGCGACTGACAGTCACCGCTCACTGCAGGGAGACGATCGGGAAGTGACTGGATCAGCTGCATGTTTCTGCTCACTTACCGATCAATAGAGCCGACCTGTGACAGCTCCTTTGTCACAGGTCGGCTCTAACTATGAGGGAGTGGAAATCACTCACCTCATAGTTCTCCTTTAACTATTAACAAAAATGTATCTTATTTGTGTATCAGGATACAGTCCGTGTACCCATCACACTCAGAGCCGCTGCTCCAAAATGGAGGGTGGGTGCAGCAGGTGTCAGCGGGTGGCTTCAGACAAAATATCAGTAAAGGATGGACACCGGCACTCCAAAGCAAGTTCAGTATGTGTTTATTAACGTACTAGTTGCAAGTAGAACACATCAGAGTGTTCATCCTTTACTATTATTTGTGTATCACTCGGCTGTAGATCCTCAAATCATCTCTGAATTGGTCCTGACACTGTCCTTTCTTCTGGAGGGTAACTGCTTTTGTTCCCCATGGTCCCTGCGTGTGTTGTAAAGTAGCCACCACTCCAAGCTCATTCCCGGGATGGACTACAATCTCAGTACAAATCAGTAAACGAAACATGAGCTTGTAGTCCATCGTGACTTTAGTTTCACTTTAAGCTGGCCATGCACCAGTGGAATTTAATTTAATATTCTGAAAAATCATTTGTCAGAGCATTCGATCTTGCCATCATTGAGCCAAATTCAACAGGCCTATAAAGTTTTGACCAGACCTGCTACTTGAATGGAACCCCAGACATATTTAACAGACGTATTATTATTATTATACAGGATTTATATAGCGCCAACAGTTTGCGCAGCACTTTACAATATAAGGAAGATATTACAATCACAATACAATTCAAGACAAGATTATGTGCAAACGATTATGTGCATTACAATATGTACAATTTTTACTGAACAGAAATCACATTCACGGTTAGAATTTCGTTTATGCAGATAGCCTTTGAGATTTATCATCCACTTGGTTCCAAAACAATCGTCGATTTTCTAATGAAATTCTACCGTTGTATGGTTAGCTTAAGACTAGGCTCATGATGTCCAAATTGTGATTGGTGGGTTAAAGGAGAACTATGAGGTGAGTGCTTCTCACTCACCTCATAGTTCTAGCCGACCTGTGACAATGAGACTGTCACAGGTCGGCTTAGTAGATCGGGAGGTGAGCGAACACATACCGGCGTTCGCTCACCTCTCGATCCTGTCACGGCTCTCTGCCGTGACAGGGGAGGGGCTGGATTCCCCCCTCCCCGCTCCGATCCGCCAGCGCTGACTAGCGGAACGGACGGGGGAGGGGGCGGGTACAGCTGGCTCTGCCTCTAGATAGTCAGAGCCTGCTGTCAGTCACGCAGCTGGGCGGATCCAGACATAATTGTCGGGATCTGCTTCAGCTGCGGCGTCTCATTATACCGCGAGCAGCAGCTCGCGGTATACTGAGCCTAGGGTGACGGGAGGACGCTAGTTTGTGTCCTCCTGTTACCCTAGGGAGAACTATGGGGAAAAGCCTTAACCCCATAGTTCTCCTTTTAAGGTTTGTGGTTGGTGGTCAAATGAAGATGTCTCATTTTCATGAAAGACTGGTAGACTTGTGGTCCATATTGTATGCAGTGGCAGTGCCCCCGTACCACTCTTATCATGGGAAAAGTAAGCTATTGGCTATTAAACTGAGCCCAGATGATAATGTTTTCTGCCAAGCATGTCTTGTGAGGTATGAGGTCCTATTTATTTGAGTCTGCTGATGTTTGAAGGTTTCAATGGCAATCATTAAGTTCCTTTTAATTTGACGAATGTTAATTTGTATTGATACAAATTGGTTCCAACTTACAGTAAAATGTAACCAGATGTTTTTTTCCATTCTAGACCTATATCTGATGCACTGGCCCGATGCTAATCTTCCTGGTAAGAGTGCCCGGGAGGCACGAGCAGAGACATGGAAAGCACTGGAGGATTTGTATGACAGAGGTAAGAAATTATTTGATTTTGGTAATTTTTTCACTATTTTGTTCCATGAAAGATAAAAACTTGACACCATATTCATGGTATAGTATTTTTTGCCTTCACAAAACAGTAGATGTACCAGCAGGGGGAATAACAAATCTGTTTAGATAGCATATGGCTTGCTAAGAGCTAAGCGTCAGGTCTGACTTCTCAACCTGAGATTAGAGCAGATGGATAAATGTACCTTTGTAATAAATATAAATGTAATATTGCTGCTCTAAAGGGATCATTTCTTTTCATGCCTCCTCCTCTGGAAGTCATGTCTGTGGATGTCAGAGTCCTGCAGTGCCTCATGGGACTTGTAGTTCCCCAACAGCTGCGGTGGTTGCGTACCCATGCTTTAGGCCCCGTTCCCACTGCGCGATATGCAAATCGCGCGTTTGTCGTGCGATTTGTATATTGCGCGACATCGCGAGATTTGCCGCGCGATATCGCGTTCAAGCTTGCATTGAGCAAGCTTGAATCGTGGCTAAATCCGCTCCAAAAAGGGTCCTGCTGTAGCGACACACGACCCGCGACAGCAGGACCCTTTGCCCCATTGAAATGCATTGGAGCGCGATATCGCGCGGTAATTTGCCGCGATATCGCGGGAATTACCGCGCGATAAATCGCTCAATGTGAACGGGGCTTAGGATAAAATAAACTACTAAAAAAGTACCTGCCTGGGCACAGAAGGGTCCATGACAATAAAGGCAATCTGCTGTCTTATAAGGTCTCGTTCACACCTAGGCGTATTGCATATGCGCATCTGTCGCGCGTTTCCGAAGGCTACTTGGCTGTATCCCAATGGAAACGCGCAACAAAACGGCCCAAAGTAATACCTGTACCTTTTCAGGCGTGGGCCGTTTTGTAGCGCGTTAGGGACGGGCGGAAATACGCCAAGGTGTGAACGAGACCATTGAATACAATGGGATTTATATTTTTGAGCGTTTTGTAGAGCGTTCGTCGAGCGTAGAACGCGCTACAAAACGTTCAGGTGTGAACGAGGGCTAAGTCTAAAGCCCCGTTCACATTGAGCGATTTATCGCGCGGTAATTCCCGCGATATCGCAACCAATTACCGCGCGATATCGCGCTCCAATGCATTTCAATGGGGCAAAGGGTCCTGCTGTCGCGGGTCGTGTGTCGCTACAGCAGGACCCTTTTTGGAGCGGATTTAGCCGCGATTCAAGCTTGCTCAATGCAAGCTTGAATGCGATATCGTGCGGCAAATCTTGCGATGTCGCGCAATATGGGAACGGGGCCTACTGTTAGGAAATACGTATGTCAGTAGAAGTGGGTCTGGGACACGCCAGACGGTGAAGCAAAGACACATATTGAAAATCACAACCAAACGAAACTTTCACTGATCTGTTTTCAGTAAACTAAAGTATGAGTAGTGGATATGGGTTATTATCACGCTTTGCACATCACTAATAATCTTAACTTTTTTATTAAATAAACTTTCTATTGATGAGTTACTACAACACAAGATAGATTTCAGTTGTATGACAAATAATTTTCACAACTATCCTATGGCTGCTTATAACTTTAAAAGTTAAGCATACTTGCTACGTAGGTCGAATAGGATCCACACTAGTGTTATTTCCTTGTAAATAGGTATTCAGACAGCCTCTTTCAGGACCTAAGGCGTCCTTATGCCCGGCCTACTTGCTGCATGCCTGTCAAGGGAGGCTGCTTCCGCAAGGGTTAACTGCTTGTTTTTTTTCTAGGGGTGAAAATAAAGAAGAGATAGTGACCGGTTCCTCAGTCCTGCAGCAGTGACCGATTACCTTTCTACCACTCTGGTCTGGCTGTGGTATGTCCCTTGACGTCTAATAGACTTGTATTAGATGTGCTGACTTCATGGGTCCTCACTGGCCCTTAGCTTGCCGGAGCGCAGGGGAGAAGAGGCTGCAGGGACCGGTCTAGCAACCAGGCAGGACCAAGGATCGAGTGAGTATTTCTTCTTTATTTTCGCCCCCTAGACAAAACGAGCAGTTAACCCTTGCAGTTCAGGGGCAGCCACACTGCAAGAATTAATCCTAATAAATCCTGGAGTTCCGCTTTAAACCTAAGCAAATCAGGGTCTCCCTGGCAAACTGTTAGCAAACTTAGGCATATCACTGAAAGGGTGTTTTCGGACCAGGGAGGTACTAGAATTTAAGCAGCAACTTTAGTTTCAGAAATATAGAACAGATGACAGGTACGCTTAAAGCCCAACTGCTGGATATATTTAATTCCACTCCCCACTCTCTAATCACTGGGTTAAAAAAAAAAAAAATCCCTATCTTAAAGCCCTTTTATTACTTACTGTAAGCTGCAGTCATGTGATGCCAAAGCCCAGAGTGTTCTCCTCTTTAGTTTACTTCCAGGTTGGGTCCTTCTTTGAGTGTCCACGTCAATACCTGCATGATGTGGACATTTTCTTTAGGATGTCAATTGGCTCCAGGATCCAGAAGAGGGCAGATATCCATCCGGGCCCCGCCTCATCCTCCTCCACAGCTGCTTGCTGTCACTGACTCAGCAGCGGCTGTGAGGAGGAATGCGCCGCTGCACAGATCACTGACAGGTTGTCAGCGATCTGGACAATAGAACGTTGCTCCTCATAGCCGCCAGTGACAGCCTGCCATGCCATAGCGACCCAGGCGGCCGGCACTGCATCAGGGAGACCCCTTTGTTCCTCGTCCTGGTTGGGCCCCCCTGTGCCCTCGGCCCAATAGCAGCCGTCTGGGTCGCTGTGGCGATAGTTCCGACGCTGTCGACATCAGTGGAGTAAAGGGGGCCTGCGGTCTCAGCCACAATAATTGTGGTCCCCCCACCTGGAAACGGCAGTGCTGAGGGACCCAGAGTGGGAACTTAGTTGATTATATCTGACTTCACAAAGCAAGGGAAAAAAAAGTTATTAGATGGGTTAGAAGTAAGTAGGAGGGAGGGATGGGAAAAACTATTTGTTTAATTCAGATAGGCTTTAAAATGTTGCTTATTACAGTTGTTTACTAGCTGGTGACATCAGCTCTTGCCCCTGTATTAATGCCCATTTGGAGAGGTGGAGCTGAAGCCAGGCACCATTGTGGCACTTACCTTATGCCCACTAATGTTTAAAAGAAAAATATAACAATAGTTTGTCTTTTCATGTCATTAAATTATATCCTATATTATTGTCCATGAACATAAAGCAGTTACTGTTTAATGGACAATGTGAGGGTAAATGTAAATGTGATAACAACAGTTTTGTTGAAAAAGTTGTTATCTGTAGCAGTTGGTGCTCATTAAAATTACTATTTTATAACTGACGAGGGCTGGGCTGGTGAGATAAGCAGTTCGATACAAAAAGCACCGTTTGCCCAAGACAGTTTCCCATCATTGATATAGTGTGGTAATATTATCACTGTCCTCAGGGACATAGCAAGGAATGTAGGAGAAGGCTGGCTTTCATCATGGACAGATACAGTCTGGACATACTAATCATATGATATTGTACTAACTGGCAGTTCATTTAAAGAGCTGGCATACAGCATGTTTGTGGTATGGGATGTCTTGAGGTCTTCAACAGGAAACATTGACACCTGTTCAGTCTTGAGGAACTGTACATTAAATACAGGATTGAAAAGTGAGAAGCGAATGTGTACAGATAGAAAACAGGTATTGAAAAGGTTTTGATTTTCAGTATTTAAATAAAACAGGGTTCCCAGGGAAAGATGGAACTTCTTAGATAAGTTTATAATCTGAAAGTGTCATTTCAGCCAAAACGGTTATGTCAGCTCTGGGTCATATTGGTGAGCTTCTTATATTCTCAGTGAACCAAGAGCAAGAATTCCCTGTTAAGTAAGAATATCTTCAAAATGTTCTCATCTGTCACCCACACCACAGCATATCATACCTGTGGTGTGGTATGGAGATCTCAGTACTGTATCCAGGGCCGGACTGGGACAAAAAATAGGCCCGGGCATTTTGGACTGAGCAGCCCAATCACATGACCCCTGACAGGCCCTAACCTGTCACAATCTGGGGCGAGGCCAAACATAGCACAATCGAGGGGCGGGCCCCTAAGGCGGCCACCTAATTATAGGGGACTCTGTGTCCCCTTTAGTCTGGTCCATGTGTCCACTAATTCTGGCCCCTGTATCTACCCTCAGTCTGGACCATGTGTCCCCTCATTCTGACCCTTGTGTTCCCCCTTAGTCTGGTCCATGTGTCCCCTAATTCTGTCTCCTGTGTCCCCCTCAGTCTTGTCCATGTGTCCCCTCATTCTGGCCCCATGTGTTACCCTAGCGTGTCACCTGTGTATCTCTCCTCCATGCCTGGTAGTGCTTCCCCATCCCCTCCCCCTTTTAGCTCACTTACTGCTAGAGTCCGGTGTTCTGTGATTTCTCTGGCTCGGTCCGGATTCTGGGCTGATCAGGGGTGGATCCAGAGTTTAGTCTCGGGAGGGGCACTTCCAGAAAATAAGTTGTTGTTTACAGAACTGCCAAGAGGTTGTGCAGGGTCTCCGGGTGGCTGTGCTGGGTGTTAGGAGCACTGTGCGGAGTCTAAGAAGGCTGTGGGGGATCTCACGGGTGGGTGCGGATGGAGTGGTTCCCCAAGAAGGAAAATTAGATGAGTGGCCATTGCTGTAAATAGGCGCCGCATACAGCTGCTTCAGTTTAAAAATGTAAAATGCTGGTTTCAGCGCATAGTATCACTGACCCCCTCTGAGGGTCAGTGCAAGCTCTGGGGGGCAGTGCAAGCTCAGGGGGGGGCAGTGCAAGCTCAGTGGGGGCAGTGCAAGCTCAGGGGCGGCAGTGCAGCCACTGGCGGGTCAGTGAGGCCTCTGGCGGGCAGTGCAAGCTCAGGGGGTCAGTGCAGTCTTTAGGGGTCAGTGGGACTCGAGGTCAGTGCAAGCTCAGGGGGGTCAGTACAAGCTCAGGGGGTCAGTGCAAGCTCAGGGGGTCAGTGCGGCCTCTGGGGGTC